CACTCTTCCCCAAGCCTGTAGCGCTGCATGGGGTTGTTGTGGCCGAAGTGCAGGACCCGGAACTTGGCCTTGTTGAATCTCATACAGTTGGCCTCGGCCCATCAATCCAGCCTGTCCAGGTCCCTCTGCAGAGCCTTCCTACCCTCGAGCAGATCAACACTGCCGCCCAACTTGGTGTCGTCTGCAAACTTACTGAGGGTAATAATCTATGATTCTATGAACCATACCCCCAAGGTACATAAAGCCTGAGTCACCGCATCGTATAGAAGAAAGGGAAAGCTGGATGTACTCTTATTCTGCACGCAAAAGTATCCCAAACTGGAAACTGGTCCCAATGTCTGATGAGATTCAATCACCTTGACCTATCTGACTGCAATCTAAATAGCTTACAGAAAACTATCAGCTGTAGATACATATTCTCAATAACTAAACAAAAAAAAAAAAAAGAATATAATGAAAATCAATGCAACTTTCAGGAAAAACTAAGAAAAGTAACACGCAGCACCTCTCAATTTATACACTATAATTCCATAAATTGGTAAGAGTATAGGGAATAAAAAGAAACAGTTTACTAGGCAAGATAAAAAGGAGGACTTCAACAACATGCAAAATCATGACAGTATATTTCAATTACTACCAGAAATTTGACTACCTGGTTTAGGTGGTGCATGAACAATTTTAGCTGGATGTGATGGTTCTCCAGGGACTGGTGTGTCTTTATCCGCACATATCTGAAGAGAACCCGATTCCACCTTCTGCACATTCACCTCTTCTTCTGTTACTCCTGTGTCCTTATCTTCATTCTCCACTCTCTCGGTGTGATCCACACTCAAGGGAGTCAGTTCAGACTGACTGACATGAGATTCACTTTTGTATGCAAAATCGCATGCGACCACATCCTCTATATGGGAATCCATAGGCTCTTCTGTAAATAATTAAAAACTGCATGAGTGAATTTCCCTCTGTATAACCGCAGCTCACACTTTGCACAATTGACATTAATATTAAATTAATTCATTTCCAATTTTACAACCGTTTTCCAACAGATAAAGTGACTGTTTGCAATAGTCTGAAAATGGAAAACTTCCTTTATGACCCTGAATTACTAGCACCAACTCATTTATGGGAACAGTTTTATTTTCTCCACTAAAATGAGGCAGTCAACTAATCTCATGCCATAACTTCAAACAAACAACAACAACAACGAAGATCCAAAAAACCTAACACACACACACAAGAGGCAAATCATAATGATTCAGAACCAACGCAACAAGTTCCACCACAACTGAGAATAGCTGGTTCTGGTGTTGGATAAATGGGGCGTGACTGTTCGATCACCTGGAAGAAAAACTCTCCTTTCCCTGCTTGCTCTTCCTTTTCTCTGCCACCCAGTCCTGCTTAGTCCTCTCCAGATTATCACTTCCATGACAGAGGTAAAAACAGGGTCTAATGCTCTACGGCACCCAGCTAGAAAGTAAGCACATACCCAGAGATGACCAGATAAGCTGGTCTATGCAAAAGGTAAGGAAACATATTCTTCAATAGAGCAAGTCAGCTGCACAAGTTGGTCTCGGGGCTACATAGTCCTCTTGATTCAAAACACACTGTAAAGACACAACCTACCCAGACCTTTATAAAGGGGTCTATATACAAAAATCAAAGCATATTTGCCATTCGATCACTCTAAGCAGGTACTTGATCCTCCTTTCAAACATCAGTATTGGTTTTCAAACACTAAGAATCTCTTACCTTCACTCACTACTTTCGAAATATCTCCTTTGGAAATAAATTTCAACATCTTCTTTAGAACTTTCTTGTGAGATTTGGAGGTCTGAAAACACAAAGCCTGGCACCTTAAAAAGAAAAAATTATGACCGTTTCTTTTGTGAAAGATTATTAAAAAAAAAAAAAATGTTAAGGAACCACTTTAAAAAAATTACACTATATATGTATTTTCTAAATATTTCTTAAGTTTCCCTATATTAAGTGGTCAAATATTTTATCAACACTTTTGAGTTAATAAAATTATGTTGCCTTGTATTGCATAATATCATTCTTTATGACATGTTTTGTGTGTATATCACTATAATCACTAAAATATGCCAGGGTGACCTCAAGCACTGCGTAAAAAGCTTTCCTAGGAGGCTAATACACTAGAATTTTTCACTTATCCATCTTACAGATACAGCATTGATACTAACTACTAATGCCAGAAAAGCATATCTAGAATTATTCATACCTATTCAACAGACAACCTCTCTTATTTGGGCTACTAAAGCAGTGTTTGTGGGATACAGACATACTGGTTCACCTGCAACCAGTGAGCAATCATAGGACTCTTGCTTTGGATTGCAACCCAGAAGCAAAAGGCAAGGGTACAGACTTCGCAGGTTGCTTACAGGAAAACATGACTGAGCCGCTGATGTGCCTGTGCACAAACCCAACAACATATGTTTAGTATTCAAAGTATCATTAAAAGTAGATATTTCAAGTATTCTGTATTTAAAGCAGTAAACACAAATGGTTGAACATATCTGAAGCAGTCAAATCACTTACAGTAGTATATTTTGAGCTTCTTACCTTATTGTATATTGAGGACAACACGTTTGATTCATGATAGGTTTGTAGACATATTTTCCACTTCTAGAAATAATAATAAATATGTATTGATTTTTTGTTGCTTATACTACAAAATAAATGGAAGACCAACCTTTTTTGTTAAAATAATACAAAAATATTACATGATGAGTAACAGAAGTCAAGATGCAAGTTCTTCAGCTTTTTGCTGCTATACTGCTATCCTGCTAAAACAACTGAATATCTTCCTGTTCGACAGTGTCATGTTACAAAAAGTTGCAGAGCATTGGACAAATAGTTCTATTTCAATTACTTATGGAAGCTAGTTAACTGTTTCCACAGCTCTAAATTTTAAATCTGGATTCTAAATTGTATCTAAACTGACAACACGGCTTTGTATTTTCTTTTTAAATTTACCTTCGCCATCCTCTGTCTATGAGATCCTGGTAATCTTGAACTGTCATTGAATGTGCCCACATACCTGAAATAAGTAATACAGTAACACACTTGACTGACCGCAGTAATGCTTTAAAATACAACAAGTTCTACAGAAATATTACTGTAAATCCGAGTAGCCGACAGTGACTTTCAAACAAATGTCTTTCAAGGATTTGGCATATTCATAAATCTTGTAAATTACTGATTTCAACACCCACATTAAGTGTAAAAAAAGTGGGATGCAATCAACTATATTGCTCTGATCGTACAAGTTAAAAGTTTTCCTCTCCACCTGCTATCTTTCCCAGAGATACACCAACAAAATAACATAAAATTGTTCCTTAATTTTGTTAAAATCAGTCGGAAACACAGGGCCAGAACTCTTCTGAGAGGGGCTGAAGCTGACACAGACCATTCCAGGGACCCCCTCAGAGAGCAACAGCCCAGGCGGCTACCAAGCCGAGCGGAGCTCAGGGACTGTCACCTCTTCACCAGGCAAAAGAATATAATCCACTTCCCGTTGAGCTGGCCTAAGCAAAACTTGTCTAGCCACAGCTTTAGAGCCATCGAGCCTTGCCGGGCAGACGCTCTTATCTACGAGTTAATCCAGACTGTCGCCGCAGGGTCAGGCAGGGCAGTTGCACCTGAGAAGTAGAACTGTACCAAGAGAACACTTAGGGCGAGATCCTAACTACGTTCTTAGTTAGGGTGCATACGTTATGATAGCAATAATTAAAACATTTCATCCTTTACAAAGCTTTCCCGTTATTTTTGACGGTTTGCCCCTTGACTGGAGAAGTACTCCTATAAAACCAGACCACA